TTCTCTCCCGATTCTCTAGAATGACCTGCAGTATGTATGCAAATATAAATTTGATACATACTGCATTCGATTATTGTATGTATGCAAATATACATTTGCATACATACAATAATCCAACATCAGGTTTCTTAGTGTATTGGAGTCATTTCTGATATTAATCAAATCCTTTTGCACGCTATCAGCATGCTGAGTGGGTTAGTGTTAGATAACACAGAGGTAGATAGACACCGCTCTCTTTTACATCAGTATGATTAAAGGCGGCATCTCATATCCATACAATTTGTGATCCTGGAGCTATTTTATTAAATCCCTCCTGAATGAAAAGGGTGTAGGATGAGAAGTAGGTGGGGAGAATGATGGTGTAGACTGAGAACGAAGGAAGGAATTAGAAAGTAAATAAAATAAATATATTGAGCAGGGCTAATTCCTGTTCACCATCAAAAGTTTAATTTCTTTTCAAAAGGGAACATTTCAAAACACTTGACTCTCCAACAGCAGCCAAAGAATGCCCATCGGCCGTGGTAGCAGCAGAGGAATGTGTCACGGGCAGCAGCACACAGGCAGCAGCTGCAGAATGGACCTCTGCTGCGATCAAAGCAGAGGTTAGTCTAGCTGACTGCCCTTTCCAACCCAAGGATTTTCAGTCCCAGACGAGGCGTCTTGTAACACAAAATCGTACCCTCCCATTCAAACCAGGCTGATTTGAAAATCTGCCACGGCTGCATTATGTGAAAGACAGCGATTTTGTTTAGTGCCTTTCATGTGTCACAGCAGTGGAGGAAGAAAACTGCTGAGTGAAGACAGTGCCAGACTTCGACAGCCCTTTTGTGTCGGCTGGTGAATTCACAAACTGGCGCGGAGCCATTCAAAGTTACGCAGAATGAGTAAAAAAACAGAAGATGAGGACAATGACAAAGTCTTAAACTGCAATCTGATTGGATGGATGGGCGGATGGATGCATTGATGGGATAGTGTCTGCTGATCTCATAATTCTCTGTCAGCAAGAGGCAATTAAAGTGTTCTGCGGTCAGAAAAGGTCTGTTTTTACATTCCCTCAGCGTCCAAACAGGGAAAGTCAGAACAGCCTTGTTGAAGGCTACACCATCATAATGCAGTCAGGCCCGAAAACATCCCCATCTGCTTTTCCAACTCATTGACATTCAAAAACGCGATCCCTGACATGCACACATCACCTGTTTCCCAGCCCCCATATCTCCTACTGACACTAACTGATTAACAACCTCTGCAAGTCTTTCTCAATCCCTCTAACCACCCCTCAAATCCTTTCATACTGCACGCTGTCCATCTCTTTTTAATATTTACACATCAATTATGTGGCTCATCCATGAATATATATCACTCCCAAGCAGACTGCACGTACTGAATGGTGACCGGAACGACACCAAAGAGAAAACGTGCGATGGTATGAAAACAAACTCATAGTATGTATTTATTTGGCAGGGACAATGCACACCAATCAACAGTTGTACTGTGAGCCAGAGAGACTAATTTCCATCTGTTGTCCCCGGCCAGATGTTTTTAAGGCAGCCTGAAAATAATAAAATCTCAAAAGGGAAATGTAATTAAAATTCATCGCCGAAATGACAACAACGTATAGACAAAAGCAACACCCAGCAAAAGAAAAGAAAAGTGTAAGACGGTAGACTCGAGCCGACATAACGGGCTGCAGCAAGCGTCCGGCAGAGCAAACCCACCTACAGCACAAGCACATGTACTGTGAATACCACGGAAGGACATAACACAGAAAGAAAATAGCACTGAACAAGACAAATGTATACATAAGGGAAACAAGCAGGCACAACAGACATCACACCAAAGCTCGCACACCTGGTTTTAGGGTTTTACTTGAAGGTTTTGTGCGTGTGTTGTCTGCGTATGTGTGGTGGCAGAGCTGCCTTCCCAGAGAATGTAGCCTTGCTAGACAAGCTTGACCTACGTGAAATGACACAATCACCTCTTGAAGCAGATCTATTGAGTCTGCTGCTTTGACTGCTTTGGTAAATAAAATCACTAAGTGGAGGCGGGGGCCCAATTATGTACAATTTAAAAAAAACAGAAAGATATCAGTAAATTTAGTTAGTCGTTAGTCATTGTTATAACGCTCTTCCTTCGATTGTCATTATGACTATGCTGTTAATACTGAACTAGTTCCCATGTCAGATTTAATATTTACAATTCCATCTCCAGAAAGCACTAATATCTTCCATCTCTCTAAAAATGTACACATGATTGTGTTCTTTATTTTGTAAGGAAGGTATGTTATCACTCTTGTGTTTGTCAGAAGGATTTCTCATGACTACATCAGAGATATCAATCAAAAGTGAGGAAATGAATCGAAGTCTTTTCGCACCATTTTTTAATTCTGTCGATCTGGCAGATGATGCTTTACCGGTTGTGTAACCCTACAAGTATCTGTGCCGTTGATGCAGTGTTAGTTGCAGTATGAGCTCACTAAGGGCTGGATGTTTAATCCATCTCTCTACTTAACACACTAACAAGGCCAATTTCATGACTGCGTGGGCTAACGGCAGTTACCCATTTTCTAGTGTACACAAGTTCAACAATAATGTAATTTAAAAGAAGCTAGAAATAAATTAGATAATTAGGTAATAACTGTTTCATCAATCATTGACTGATTATATAAATTTGGACCAATTTATGCTGTCAGTTGACCGGTTGAAAGAAAAAGAAAAACAGTTATGTTTAGTATATATTCACTGACATACTGAACACACGGCGCTCGCTACCAAGCTACTGAGCTCACCGCGATGATGACACTGTGTCTTTTTTCATTAATTCCACAATTAGACCTATACACTGTGGGCTTCTCTCTGGACCTGATCTGTCACATGACCTGCTGGAGAAGCATCCGATGCTGAAGAGGTTTAGGATTCCATCACAGCAGTTCGCAGCTTCAGTGCACAGAGGTAACTGTCACCGGCTGTGCGCAAATCTGTCTACTTTCCTCTCTCTCTGTGACCCTCTGTTTTTTGGGGAGTTTTTCCTGTGCCGATGGTGGGTTTCGGGGCAGAGGATGTTGTATGTGTACAGACTGTAAAGCCCTCTGAGGCAAATTTGTAATTTGCGATTATGGGCTATACAAAATAAAATGAATTGAATTGACCACGTCTGCAAGCACTTTCTTTTCAGCAGGTGTGGCTCATGACATCAGTTATCACCTAAGTATAATCATAATATGAATCGGTATCTGCTTTATGCTCCAACTGATGGCACATCAGCGGCTTTTTAACGCCACTGCCGTTATTTTTGGGGTCAATATAAATGGTTGCGTCTTCTCTTTGACAAAAGATATTTAGGTTACAATATCAACTTGAGTGCTTTTCAAAAGCATTTGTTGTGAGTAAAGTGAGTGTTGTTCCTGCACATTTTGTTCGTCATCGGTTTAGTTAAAAACAGTTATAATTGGCTCATTATAACAACGCTCTTCAAGCTGCTGTGTTACTCCTCCAAATTAGGGGACACTTAAAGAAATACACAGGTTGTTTTTTTCAGGGATGTTTTTCTGTGGCTGATGCTGACCTCTGACTTTTTTATGAAAGTGTTTCACTGTGGAACACATTGTCTAATCTTGATCCCAGTGCAAATGCACTACAATAACACCGTCAAAAAGCTGCACATCTTGAAGACGTGTTTGCCATTCACAAATCCAGGACAGCATCTGCATTTCACATACCCGGTCCCACAGTCCCAGTTTAATATGCCTTTCTCTACATATAGATGACGACAGTAAAGTTAAAAGCAACACGCAACTCAACAAGCTAGATTTGAACTCGGAATAAGGGGAAAGCTACATCATAGCTCACTTCTCGCTTACAGCACATACTCACACGCAACTACCGTCCCCTTGCTGATTACTCTGAAGTCAGCCAGCAGGTGGAAGAATAATGATCATAAAAATGTCATCAGCATCTTCTACTGGGAAAGAGGAGGAAGGAAAGAGTTTAGGGCTTTCAAGGGTCATGCAAATAATGCGAAAGAAAGAAACAATAGGGCACGAGAGGCCTGGACAGATAGAAATTACGTTTTGTCTAAACAGAAGAGATTGTGATGTGTGTGCATAACGTCAGGGTGGCGGAGTTGACATGAAGAAACTAAAAATACTCAGGGGCAGGAAGTTAGCAGGGCTGTCAATGCGGCGGGCTGTGAGAACACCACAACCACCTGATGAGGTGTCTAACTCCTACACACACAGCTGTGTGACATGCTGTCAATGACTTTTTTTTATCATAATGGAAACCGGTTTCCTCTCTTGCTCATACTGTGACCTTGTTAAGCTGGAGATAGTTTTCCTTCAGCTGTTCAAAGACCAGATCGAATGGATCTCTGCCCTTTGAAAATAGGACTGTATAGTGATACAAGCTTAAAGAAACTAAACTGTGGGGTTTTTTCTGTAGATATACTATAATTCTGCAGTTATCTACCTTACATTTCAAAAAATATATTTAGTATACTAGTGAAACGTATTGATTGTTGGAGGGTTCAATTGTTCAGTCAATATTCCTCTGCTAAGTAGAACGACAGCCTTCTTGTGAAGCAGACTCTCTAAGCTGTCGCCTGGTGTTACTTAAATGTGCATTAGAGTTTATGCAGGGCCGTCACTGGCGTCCACATTCCATTCATAACAACATCATTTACAACCATTGTAGATGAGCGTATATTCTTCCAAAATCAGGGCATATTGTATTGCCTCCCGACTCTCAACTTGCCTTCATTCTCAGGGACTCCACTATGCATGCAGGCAAGTATTACAAATACTTGTTTAAGGCTGTATTATTGCACTGAAAAAAAGCCAACTTCTATAAAAAAATAAGAGGCATTTATACACTGTTTTGCACAATAGTACATTTGATTTTCCCTTGGGTTCAACAAGACGAACATATGTCCATCGGTTCCCCCTCTGGGTCTTTTTGTCCCACCAACCAAAGCGAGCAGTCTGGTAATAAAAAGAGAAACATTACCTTCTCCTATGCAAAGGGCCCTCTGTTGGGGGACGTGTTGAGCAGCGTCATTGACAGACATTAGAGAGAGCAGGTTGTCCCTCGTTTCTCTGGTTTGATCCACTGCTGCTGTACCGCCGCTGTGTGACTGGGTGGGAGTAGTTAGTCCTGATGAGCAGGCGACACGTTGGTAGGTAAGCGGCGCGAATAGGTGGATGACATGAAGTGTCGTGTAGCTCTGAGTGGTGGGAAGACTAAAGGCGCTATACGAGTCAAGTCAATTCGCCATTCATCAATCTGCAAAATGACAGAGAGAGCAGAAAGAAATGCTTTGTATCTGAGGAAACAACACATGAGGTTTAAATACTTCAGATGCGATCTTAATTCATTATTCTATTTTTTTGCATGTTGCTGTGTTCTTACTCTGTGTGAGCGCCTGCTCAGCTATGACTCGATGCAGTGACCAGGAGGAGTGGAGAGCTTTCATGAGAAAACCCTACTCCCCACTTTCCTTCATACATCTCACTCACCATCTCTCTTATTTCATCCCCTCCCCTCCTTCATCCCCACTCCCTTCCTGGCGGTACTATAAATATATTGAGCTAAATGTAAGATCAGAACTGAATTTATCTGGCCGACGCGCTCCCCGCGACAATTTCCAGAGCAATATGTAACTGTTTGAAGTGTGAGGCGGCGCGAGGTGGTGGCTAACACAATCTTATCAAACCAGAGAGGGCTGGCTGGAGAATCGGAGCAGGCCTCCCCAGTATGCTGGATATTATTCACTCGGATCGTTTCAAGAGCTTTATTGGCATGCCAGGAGTGCCGAGTAACTGAGTAAAGCCTGTTTCTGTGTCGGTCTCTGCACACTGACGTTCTTACACTCAAACACATAAATACACATGTTTGCATGTGTTGCCAAGTTCAAACAAGCACAATAAATGGACTCGTTATGTCCCACACTGCAATATATATATTTTCGTTTGCAGTCCCGTGCATGTAAAGCCTCCTACCAGGGCGAGCAGAATTGGAATGGACATACAATCACAGACACACTGCCTGTCAACCTCCTACAGCCAGAGTCACACAAACACACACACGCGCACACATATACAAATACGCACACAGACATTGGATTGGTCCCAGCGCCTGCCATCTGCGTGTGTTTGTATGTTGGCCTATTGTACCAGGGAATGTGTTATATTAATGTGTGAAAGCGAATGAATTGGTGTTGAAATGAGTCTTTTGATATTTGGAAAGTACAGCAGGTCAGACTGTTACATGCTGTCAGGGCCAATGCTGATTCTTTGAGGAAACTTTAGACAGAAGTTAGCACTTGAAGTGCAACTTGGACAATCATTACAATCACTAAGAGCTTTGAGAACCAAATGTTTTTTGTTTGTTGTACATTGTCATTTAAAAACAGGTAAGCAACACAGATGTGATATGCATTCATTTATGTCGTCCTGATCTTGTTGTGGCTTTTAAAAGCACTTTTTGTTTGGTATTGGCGAAATGAGGCTGGAGGTCGACCAGTTCCATACATGAGCATTGGTTATCGTTTTCTTATGTCCTTTAACATTAATAGAAAAAAGTAAAGTAACATATTAGGTAAACACTTTATTTACAGTTGTTGTTTTTACATAACTGCTGATAACTATAAAAAATGCATTTTATTTTCTCCATTGGATTTGAGGCAGAGAACTCATTAGCCTTAAATGGTCATTTTTAAATATTATCTTTTTTTATGCTCTATTGTATTTCTTTTTTTTTATTTCTGTTAAGCTCTGCCCTCAAGAGTGGTGTTGTCAAATAAGTCTTTTGAATGCATTCCTGCGGTATAAAGTAATTTCACACTCATCTGCAACCAGATAAAGCAATAAAACTCTTTTCAGTTTCAAAATTTGCTGGGCAACATTTTAAGGTTCAGACATTTTCCTTGAAATTAACTATACTAGAAGCATTCCTTGCAACCGTACCCGTTTTTTAATAAAGGGAAAAATAGGATTCCAATATGCACTGGTTAAATATGGTATGAACACACACTGCATGCTGGATGAAGAAATAAAGGTTTTCTGTAAACTGAGGTCTTGTCTTTGACCCCAGTTGGAGGTCATTTATTTCTCCAGAGAAGATGGAACATCTCTATATTCCTATCCGTCATGGCCATGTGTTTAGCTGTGATTTCACCCCAGGGAAATCCATACATTAACTTCAGGCACCCAAATGACCTGAGTGAATGGTTGACTTACAGCAAAATAGGCTACATGCATGAAAATCCTTACAATGCAGTGAAAAAAATAACTAAATGACATAAATAAAAAAAATGGGACACAATAATGGTTGTCATTGAATGGTACATAGATGGAATACATTATGTTCTATCTGTGCTGTACATGTTTGTGGAAAATCAAATGGCTGGCGTGTGAGCACTGAAGTAATGACTTACTGTAATGACAAAGAGGAAGCTGTCTTTCATTCACAAGTTAAGTCTAATGTTTGAAGGGAATGACCCTTTCCGCTCCTCATCTCACCTACCAGTTGTGTGGAAAGGATGCCACTAGCACCAACGATCAGCCAGAGAATGATGGATAAAGCAACGCGTTACAGCACTGAACCCGCGGCTGAGGTCATGGGCCTGCAGATATGGACTGTCCAGATCAGCTGATATAAAAGTCAAAGTGTTATTTTAAAAGTTTCTCTCCTGCACTACTTTTTTCCTGAAAAGCAAGCCAGCATGCTGCAAACTTCTTCACCAGGGTTGCAATTCACAACAATAAGAAATTATATTGAGATGACTGTTTTGCGCTATGCCGCATTGAAGTGTTTTTTACACTGCACATTCCAGAGAGCAGTCGTGAAAGCTCATTCCACCAATTATGACATTTCTTCAGTGCATTGAAAGACTCACTTTTCTGTGAAAATGTTAACGTCACTTTAACAATGATTAATCTACAGGCTATTTTCAAATGTTTTAGTTTTTCTGGGAATTACCTCAATGCTATAGATATACAGACAAGCAGCTCTGCCCACAGCCATGCACATACATATGTAGTAACAGCTGTACATACAAGTACAATATTCATGTAAACAGACGGACACTATCTTTTATTCTCTCTCTGGCACAGATGCTCTTTCTCTCTCTCTCTCTCGCTCTCTCTCTCTCTGTCACATACACACACGCAGTAGAAGGCTTATTTGAGGTTATTATGGGATATTAGTTTGGTCTGGGAAATGACAGGGCTTTGCATGGATGCTGCCGTTGCTTGGCAACCAAGGTAATTTTCAGCTTGCACTGCTTCATTTTAGGTGATAGAAAAAGAGAAAGATGAATTAAACCTGGCCGAAAATGTAACAATAATACGTTTATCTTGTTAAATATATACTGTATATAAAATTGTTTTGTTGTAACTTAACAAGTAACAAAAATATAATATATTTATTGCAGGACCATTGCTGTGAATGAGATGATTCCTGACGTTAACTATTGCTGAATAATAGAATCACTGCACAGTAAAAAAGTGTTACTTATTTTAAACATTTGACAGCTATTTTCTCTCAATGCAACTTTTGTTTGCTTCAACAAAAATACTCCTTGAATACATGTCTCATAAATTGAGAGAAATTGATGATGTGAGCAATGCCATTCTAAATCTTTTTGTGAGTAAAAATAATAAAACAATAGGAATAAGCATTCAAAAAATGCTTGGTCTTTACCAGCTACTTCCTGGATGGAGATAGAAAAGAGATAGGAAATGAGAATAATAAGATATAGAAGGAGTGCGCGTCCAAAAAAGAGAGAACTATTGTAAAACATGGTGCTGTAGTGGCAGATAAGTGTTTTTCTGCTGGGGCAGATTAAAAGACTACAATTTCCCGATGAATATATTAACATTTTATGAGGCGAATCGGGGACTGGCAATCTCTCCTCTTGCATAAATAATGAGCCGGTTTAATATGACTGCCTGGTTGGGGGTCTCCCCTGACACGTGTGAAATTGAATGGGATGTTATGTGTGTGTATGTGTGTGTATTTGCACCATGTGTGAAAAATCGAGGAACAATTTGTGTGTTCAGTGGAGGGGTATAAGGATGTGTGTTGGCTGGAGGTGCATGTGTGTGTCCGCATTTGGAAGTGTGTTTGATATTTGTGAGTGTGCGTAATGACTGAGTCACATTGCACCAGGACATACACGTGTACACAGTGGCACACAAACTCCTGTTTGATGTGCACAATTAAAAGCTTTTCAGCCGCAAATTAGACAAAGCTTTCCAGATTATTTTTGCATGAATGTTTAAAGAAGTGCACCAGCAGTACACATTGAAGCTTTCTAGTGTTCAGTGGCGCAATGCATAATGTCACAGCCAACCCTTAAGAAATGCATGCAAACCAATGATTTATTATCTTGAAAAACCATATCTAGGGTCTATACTTTTGTGTACAGATTTATATTTAACTTTTTTTACTATGGCAATTATTTGACATGAATAAATGATATTTGCACATACATACTTTGTTATATTCCGATGAAATGTCAAATAGAGACTGGGAAAAGGAAAATTATACTGAAAATGAAATACGTAGAAATATGCAGGCAACACATAATACAAAGGTGTTTCTTGATGCGTTTTATCACTACAAAATGTACTTTAGCACACTTGCAATTAACTATATTTCATTATGCTGCCTCTGAAACTCAGTTCTTTAGTTACCTATAAGCTTTAGCTGAGCAATGCAAGCATAGCAGTTAAACGCAACAGAGCAGCGACCGACAAAAACAAAAAGAAGCGAGAAAGACCAAAACAAATAAAAGAAAAAAACAGACAGAAGAAACACAATAACACACAACAACACGACATTAACAAATTAGCTCAACCAATAAAGTTTAAGAACAGCAAAAATAAGATTTAAAAAAATCCGGGGTTGTGTAGTGATGCTAAAACTAACTGCAATGCAATGGCAGTAATGTATAAAAGCCAGAGCTGTCAATAGATCGTTTAACTAATTAATCGCACATTTTGAAATTCATTAATCGCCAATTAATTGTTGTTGTTACAATGTTTGTTTTTCTTCTAAACTCTTAAACATCTTAAAAATAATGAGTAATCACAGAAAGTGCATATGTTATTTTAAACACAAAGTTACACACATTTAATCTTGGAGGCAGAATTCCACCGGGTGGAAGATGTTGAACTAGCGACTCTTCTTCTTGTGCACTTTGCTCTCAACTCTACAGAATTTAACGTTTGTGTTAACGTGTCAACAATCTCCCCACATTCAGCCAGGACGTTTTCAAA